TCTACATAATAAGTTGGCAGCAAATCGGACAAAAAACCTTACATTAATGAATGGCAAAAATCTGGGTAATAGATACTTTTGTTTTTTACGTTGTAATTTAACTTTTTGATTCTTGATTTTTGTTTCAGAAAATTTCATTTAAAATCAACATTTTATATATTTTATATATTTCAAATTTAAGCATATAATTTTTTAACATATAGATGTGAATATGTGTACTTTCAAATTATGTTTATAGGGAAAACATAATTGTTTTACGAGGTTACAATCATAAACATTTAAAATATCTTGAAGGCGAAGCGAGGTTTGCAGCCCTCGGTAAGCATGCTATTTATCGACAGTGGTATAATAGCCGCGTAATGTTAGTACTATCGGTATTTGGACGAAGGGAAGAAATTGAGTATATCTTCGATGGACTATCACATTTGCGATAGCAGTAAGCAGACATTATTTTATAATATCAACTTAAAGTTATTTTTTTAATTTATTTTGTTTAAAAATTCTATTTCAATACATTTATTGCGGATGTATTGAAGACAATATTTATTATTGTTTAAATTAAGATTAAACGTAGCATTAATGTATTTTAACACATGAAGATATTTTCAATAATTCTATAACATTTCGCTCATTATTACAATCTTCTAGGTCAATAGTTGCAGCTAATATTAATAAATGTAACTCATAAAATGAACAGGAAAAGATATATAAAAATTATATTTAAAAATAGTCTTAATTTAAAATTTATGTAATCTCACTTATTCTGCATAATAAAGACATCGTTACAAATCAGAGATAAAGGATCATAACAAAGAAGCTGTAGAGCCGTTATTCCGTCTTGCCTGGTACCAGAATGGCCGGTAAAGAACGTACCGATTGTGTCTTCGGCGAAAGTAACGTCTCAATTGAACATGGATCGTGGACAGTTTGGACAAATATTCTCATCATCTTAGAAGCGTTACGTTATGCATAACTCGGCGAGTAAGGCAACGAAGAAAGTAAAGGAGACGTGTTAAAAGCACAATAGGTTGCGAGTAAAGAGTGGTAGGCGCCACGCCCGCCCCTCCATGCACGGCTTGGTCGCAGAGGGGGGGCGTCGGAGGAGAACGACTGGCGGTCGGCGCAGCCGCCCGCCGCGTTTTATGCAACCAGTCTTGCTTCGGAGCGAGCGAATCCACTGCCCCGGCCTTTGACAGACGGGATAACGTGTGCAGTGCCATCGTTATTGTCCGCCGTCATCCGTCGGACGTCTCTCAGCCCGTGTCGTGTGTACGTACGGCTCTCGTAACGTGCGTGCCCGCGGCTCTACGGCGCGAGGGGACGTCGCAACAACACCGGACACCTGATACTCCGGTTTTCTCGCCGCGCTTTTGAGGCAGGTCGCGAGACGGGGCCTATCTACGAGCCTGGCGTACGTAATATCACACCGCCGCCGTCCGCGTTTTCCCGTGCGCGCTGACTTTGCCGGCGAGGCGAGGAACGAGCGAACTCAGCGGCGTCTCTCGTCGAACGGCGACAAGGCGGTGTCGGCGGTGTTCGCCCGATATTGTATCGCTCCGCGCAGAGCTGCGCCACACCACACGTACGATTCACGATCGCACCCTGCAGTGGTACAGTGTAGGCTCGTGTCCGCCGACGGAGTGTCAGTGCGACGGCGGCGGTCGGTGGTGTGCTGACACACGGGTGTATTATCTACGACTGTGTGTGTGTGTGTGTGTGTGTGCGTGCATATGTGCGTGACGTGTGCGTAAAGGCAGGAGAGCGACGGACCGGCGGTGAACGTGCAAGAGAAAGAGAAAAAGTGAGAGGAGAGAGATAGACGGGCGCGACACAGCGATGCGGCCGTGATCCCCCGATACGTGGCTGCGTTCACGCCGCGTGTACTCCACACGACACAAATACAACGACACAACGACGACGACGACGACGAAGACGAAGATCACGACGACGACGACGACGACGAAGACGACGACGACGACGACGACACAACAACGACGACGACGACGACGACGTTGGTCGGGGAACTACGATCGGAGCGACAGAGAAAGGCGCGTATTTGCACGCGCTGCGAATTATCACGCGCATTCACATAACTGCGACGCGTCTACTGACGTGTGCAGGTTCCTAGCTCGGTCGACTTCTTCGACCTCTTCTTCTTCCTCGTCGTCACTATGGCGGACGACGAGGTTCTCTTCGACGATGTTTACGAGCTCTGCGAGATTATCGGCAAGTGAGTAACAAGAATCCCAGAGAGGGCGAGAGTGAGAAAGAGAGAGAGAGAGAGAGAGAGAGAGAGAGAGAGAGAGAGAGAGAGAGAGAGAGAGAGAGAGAGAGAGAGAGAGAGAGAGAGAGAGAGAGAGAGAGAGAGAGAGAGAGAGAGA